AGACCGGCACGATATCTGATTCCCCCCCCGCGTTGCTCTCGAGATCGGAGTTGTCGTCGTCTTCGGAAGACAGAAAGCCCTCCAACCCCGCCGCTTTCGCGGCCTCGCAGACTAGCTCTTTTTGGTTCAGGTCCGTAAAGAGCTGCTTTTTGGCTTTTTGATACCCGCGGTAAAAGCTTGCTTGGGAACTTGCCTTTCCCTCCCGCCGCAACTCCCGCATCTTCGCCGCGCACTCGAAGAGTTCCTCGGGGACGTGTTGTTCGGCCCGCACGAGGCCATCAACGAGCTCGAGGGAGATGTCGTCGTCCTTGCCGTGGACAAAAAAGCTCACCGCGTGGCCTTTGCGCCCGGCGCGTCCGGTGCGCCCGATGCGATGCACATAAGCCTCATAGTGGTTGGGCAAGGTGTAGTTAATAACGAGATCCAGAAAAGGAATGTCCAGCCCACGCTCCGCGATCGCGGTCGCGACCAAGATAAACTGCTTTCCGGGGGCAAAGTGCTCCAGGGCAAATTCCCGATCAATAGGGTCCATGCCACTGTACAACGTCGCGATGTGTCCGCCGTAGCCGAGCGAGCTGAGTTTCGCCATAATCTCATCCACCTCCTCCTTTCGCTGAACAAAGATGAGAATCAAGCGCTCCATGGTGGCGTCGCACTCCTCCCCGAGAATCTGCATGAGTTTCACGAAGCGCTCGCTCTCCTTTCGTTTATCCAGATCGACCTCGTAGACCTCCTCGTTAAAAAAGTAGAAGCGCTGCTCGACGTTGGCGGCGGGGGTGGGTTTGCCGCCGAAGGTGATTTCGAGCGGGTCGTCCAAATAGCCCATGACGATCTTCTTCAAGGGCCTCGGCATCGTCGCGCTGACCATCACGTGCTGGGCGTCGGGGCGGATGTTTTTGAGAAACGCCTCGACGTGCTCCATAAACCCGCTGTCGAAAAGGCGATCGGCCTCGTCGACGACGACGAAGGAGACGCGCCGGAGCCGGACGCTCTGGCCGTTGTTGACGGTGAGCAAATCGAGCAGGCGGCCGGGGGTGGCGGTCATGACCTCGCAGCCCGCCTTCGCCGCGCGGATGTTCTCGGCGAGGGGGGTGGAGCCGTAGGCGGCGACGGCGCGGAGGCCGGCGGCCGCGGCGAGGCCCGCGAGGACGCCCGTGGAC